CCCCCCCCCCCCCCCCCCCCCCGCGCATCACAGGATCTTGTCCAATCCAGGATTTTGCCCCCAAAGGGAAGGGGAGTTGCAGGGGTCTTCTTCCGCCCGCGCCTGCCCCGGCTTTCCCCCCATTTCCTTCCTTATTCGCAGTGCCCCACAAAACCCTCGCCTCCTTACCGTCCCAGCTCCGACTCCAGCTCGTAATAAGCAGCTAGGGTGTCTCTATTGGAGCCGTCGATCCAAAAATCCGGGACAGGGGCGCCGGCAGCGGCGGCAGCACCTCCGATCCGGCCCTGGCTAGTGGCAGAGCCGAGAGTCCCAGTGGCGCTGGTGGTCGCGGAGGAGGCAGAGGGAGGCGACGAAGACGCGGAGGAGGGCATGGTGACTTTGAGCATACTGCGGTGGAGGTTCAGCGCTGTGTTGGGGTCCGCCGGGACTCACCGGCTGTTCACAGGCTGCAAAGAAACGAGAGGACAAAGCGGCTAGCAGCGGCTTCTCCGCTTCCACCCCCGCCTCCGGCTCTCGAGCTGACGAGGGAAGCGGGAGGGGGAGGAAACTCTCGCGGGCTGCCTGAGGAAGCGGAGCTGACAGCCAAACTTCTAGCCGGGCGCAGCAGCAGAAGCAGCGAGCAAGCGAACCTCTTGGGCTGCAGGGAGTGCGCGCTCTCACTCGGACGCGCGCGCTCCGGCACGCGCTCCCTGTCTCTTCCAAACGCGCCCGCGCGTGCACACACCGAACACGGTGGAATGGAATGGGATGGGGTGCGAGCCGAGGAGTCGCCCTTAAGGGAAGGCCAGGAGAGATCACCTCGAACAGCCTGGCGAGGGCAAGCTGCAACCCGAGGCAGGAGGGAGCTTGGCGCGCGGACGAACGTGTGCCCAGAGGTAGCCAAATCAGTGGCTGGCTTCAGAGGCGCCTTCCTTCTTGGCAGAGCTCAGCGCAGCACCTGCCCTCCCCGCCTGCCTGCCTGCCTACCTGCTCCTCCTCTCTCGCTTTGGACGCGGGAGGGGTCATGTAAGACACAGGCACCAGGACTGGGGACCCCACTTGTGGTATCTCTGCCTTCCGCCGGGTCCTAATGCACCCTGTTTTCCTCGCCCAGAGAATAGGAGATGTGGGCTAAGACCAGAGGTTTGGTTCTAGCTTCTTCTAGACCAAGCTAGTCCGATCTACATGGTCCTTGAATTTTATGACCCGTTTGTACTCCCCTCCCCGTACCCTTCTTCCCTTATCTTTCAAGGATAAAAGCAAATCTGAGAACATCCTTGCTTTCCTCGATGGGTTGAAGTCTTCCTACAACACACTGCTAAGCACATTTTAACCACTAGCATAAGACTACTTGCTTGGTGCTTGAAATGTGATAGGATGTTTTGAATTCTAGACCTAATTATTAAACCAGCAGTAGACAGAAACATGCTTTAAGGTGCACTGCAATAGTATCCAACCTGAAATTTTAGCACTGTTTATACTGCACTAGAGGCATATCTACTCCACTATCAAATATAAATTCAGTCCAAAGTAGGGTTACCAGATACCTGCACAGGAAAAGGAGGACATGGACAATTAGAAAGGAGGACAAATGGGGGCAAGGAGGACACTGTTTAATGTTCTTGGTATCCATGCCAAAAATTACAGTGGAAAACTGCAAAAAAAAAAAAAAGTACTTAGGTCTACATGTATATGAAATTACCTTTTTCAGATCAGAAAGACTGGTTTTTCCATTGCAATATTTTTCCAACAAATCTTTATTTTCAAGAACTTATGCTAGCGATAATATAGAATTGGCAACAACATGCTTTTCAAATTTCACCATAGAAATGTATGATGAGTCATGTGATCTATAGACTACAGTGATCATAGATCTGAAGGGGCTGGACTGAAGCCGATTGCTGGAATCAGGAAATCAATTAAATAATGCAAATCTAGGCTGTCGAGTCTGTTGACGGACAAGTGAAAGAAAAAAGCAAATAGTTTACAGGGTCACAATACATGAAAGTTTGGATGATTACTGTTGTGAAAACAATCCAACACCCTCCCTCCCAAGGCACTCAAAAAGCCAGACAATACTTGATTTTAAGGCTATGCCTGCCTGATAGAGGACATGAGGACAAACAGGAGGACATGTCCTCCTTTCATCAGATGTCTGGTAACCCTAGTCTGCAGCCCTATAATTATTATACGTATGCTAATGAAACATACTTTGCAAACATTCATTGGCTGTATGTGCTCTACATTCTAGGTAAAATCAACAAAATGTCTTGTGGCACCATAAAGACCATTAGATTATTTTGGCATGAGACCATTTGCATTATAGTTATCAAATACATTCCTGTTCTTCTCAGGTTGGATATAATCTCTCTCTCTGGTGCACACACACACATGCACACACACACACACAAAAGGGGGAAATGATAGTGAAGTAAAAACAAAAACAGAACCATTCATGCTTGTGTCAATTCAACATAAAGCCTTAAGACAAATCCACTGAACCAACTGAAAATTTACAATAGCAGTAACTACTCTAATAACCATCATAGTACTGCTAAATTAATTCATAAAATTAATTAATACCTGCAATAGGACAGGAAACTATAATCTCAGTTCAAACTTTTGTGGATAAAATGAAATTTCTTGATGAGTGGAAGTCCCATGTATTGTTCAGGCCATGCATTTTAGAGTAGAGTATTTTGCAATGTATTTAAGAGAAACATCAGGTCACTTAACTTCTGTTGAAAGTAGGGATACAGCTGAAATTCAGAAGTGGGTCAAATCCTGAATTTCTTACATTCAGGATAACTCAGACTTATTCTGAGTTATGGCCAAACCTCAGGGGTGAAGTTTCTTTAGTTAGGCACCTGATACTCCTGCTGTTGAGCTCTATTGAAACTGAAGTTATGGACACAGCAATGACAAAACTAAAAATGAGTGCAACTGTGGCTTCCGTTACAAATGGCAACAACACTGTGCTTTGCTGAGAGACCAGAAACCCTGGGAACAATAGTGCTGGGGGATTCTGGTGCCTGATCCATTATTCCATGATTAATGAATGCTGCTACTGCAGCTCTTCATTTCACTGCTGGCAACAAACACATTTGGGTTGGAGAAAATGGACAGAATATGTGTGGGGGCGGAGAGGAATGAGTGAAAATATCTTCTGGGCAAATTATGTTCTTAATAGAGTAGCAATAGGCAATGTGGTGTCATTATTACTACCTTCTGGTCTCCTTGCTCCCTGGTTTTAAATCTTTTTAGATTTTAACATTTATAAGATTAAATGGGGAAAGGGCGGGCTTCCCATATCCTAATTATTCCCAGTGATGTTTCTGGGATCCTCAAACCCCTGGAGGTGATCTTAAAAAGTGAGGCAGTTGGTAACAGCCCTGTGGTTTGGAAGTGTGCCTATCTGCATAGGGGATGGGTGGGTGATTTATTTATATACCAAATTTGTCACCGCCCATCTCATTGAAATGACTCTGGGCAGTTTACAAAACAGTTAAAATCAATTAAAATTACAAACTTACGATCTACTATTAACAAATAGAAAATAAAAAGAACCAAGAATAATTGGCAATCACTCAAGGAGCGTCATCAAGGCACCAGCCACCCCCAGGATTGGGTAAGATTGTTATCACCCCACGCAAGCTGGCATAGCCAGGTCTTTAGTCCTTTCCGGAAGGCCGGGAGGGTAGGAGCCTGCCACACCTCTGGGGGGAGAATATTCCAAAGGGTGGGGTCAATGGCAGAAAAGGCTCTCTTTCTGGGCCCCGCTAGCCAACATTCTCTTGCTGATGGGGTCCGCAACATGCCTTCCCTGCCTGACCAGGTGGGATGGGTTGATGTGACAGGTAACCTGGACCCATGCCATATAGGGCTTTAAATGTGATAACCAAGACTTTGAATTGGACCCGGAAGCAGACTGGGACCCAATGCAGCTCGCACAGGGAAGGTGTTATATGTGCCATTCCTGGGGCACTCAAAATTGTCTGTGTGGCCATATTTTGAACCAGCTTTAGCTTCTGGATACTCTTCAAAGGAAGCCCCATGTAGAGCGCATTGCAGTAGTCTAGCCAAGAGATGACCAAGGAGTGACTGACCAGAGAGCCTCCTGATCCAGGAAAGGGCATAACTGGTGTACCACATGATAGTGGGCAAAGGCCCTCCTGGCCATGACTGCCACCTGCTCCTTGAGCAGGAGTCGTGAGTCCAGGAGGACCGCCAGATTACACACGGGGTCTGTCCGGGGCAGTGTAACCCCATCCAAAATCAAAGATGGTAAATCCTTGGATACAGAGGGGCCTCCAATCCATAGCCACTCTGTCTTACCAGGGTTCAGCTGAAGCCTGTTGCACCCCATCCAGATCCCCACAGCCTCCAGGCACCATGAAAGGGTGGTCACGGCATCACTCACCTCACCTGGGATGGAGATGTATAACTGGGTATCATCTGTATACTGATGATACCTCATCCCATGGTGGCGGATGATCTCATCCAGTGGTTTCATGTAGATCTTAAAAAGGAGTGGAGAGAGTACCAAACCCTGGGGCACCCCACAAAGGAGGGGCTGCAAGCTGGACCTCTCGCTCCCAATCAACACTGATTGGGATCGACCTTGGAGGAAAGGAGAGAACCAGCGCAAATTGCTGGTTGCTGCCCATTCCCAGCTCCCTAAGTTGACTCAAAAGGATACCATGGTTGATGGTATTGAAAGCTGCTGAGAGGTCAAGAAGAGCAAGGATGGATACACTACCCCCGTCTCGCTCCTGCCAGAGATTATCCATGAATGCGACTAATGCTGTTTCCATCCTGTATCCGGGCCTGAAACCTGACTGCAAGGTGTCCAGATAATCAGAATCCTCTGGAGGTGCAATGCCACCACCTTCTCAACCACCTTCCCTAAAAAGGGGAGATGGGAGACTGGAAAAAAATTGTCCAGTATGGTGGGATCCAGTGATGGCTTTTTGAGGAGGGGGCTGCACCAGCGCCTCTTTAAAAGCAGCTGGAAACACTCCCTCCCTCAAGGATGAATTCACCCACCCACCCACATATTTATTTATTTTTTATTTATCTATATATTTCAAATTTAGATACCACCCATCTCATAAAAAGTGACTCTGGGCAGTTCACAATAAAACAGCAATAAATATTAAAATACAATAGAACAATATAAAATACGGTAAAAATAGAATAAAACCAAACACACACACAAGTAATGTCTTCCAAGATGTTGATGGTTAGTAAGATGTTAACATATGGGAGCATCTTCAAGGTGCTAGCCACCTCCAGGGTTGGTTGCCCTTTTTTGCGCCCCATGCAAGTTGGCAGAGCCAGGTCTTGACTGTTTTCTGGAGAGACAAGCGAGTTGGGGCCTGCCTCACCTCTGGGGGAGAGTATTCCATAGGGCAGGGGCCGGCAGAGAAGGCTCTCTTTCTGGACCCTGCCAGT